TTTATTAGAAAATCAAAAATGTTTTTTATACGCGATTGAGTGATAAAATAGATTTTTAAGAAGGAAAATTTGGACTTTTCACTAATTTCAGAAGATTCTGTCGACTAATTTCCTAATTTTTTCAACATGCTCCATTTATGTGATTAATATTCAATCTAACATATAACATTTAAAAGAATAAAAAAAAATTTTCGATAAATTTCAAGGTCCCCGCCAGGCGTTTAAAGCACCCATCATTTTTGGCCCAAAATCGAACTGACGGGGACCCTAAAATTTAATTTTTTTTATTTTTTTTTATGCTTAAACTTATTTCCATACAAATGGTCAATTTATAAATCGATTTGCGAGTTCGATTTCAAAAATTGATAATATATGAAACACCCTAATATATATATATATATATATATATATATATATATATATATATATATATATATATATATATATATATATATATATATATATATAAATTACAATTTCAGAATAGCTTTATGACATATATAATTGGCAGGACTTCCAGAAGATCATACGATTTTATTATGAAGCCCTCTACAATATTAAATTATAATAATAATAAAAAAAATCAAATTAACCAATAAAAATAAATCAATATAAACTATATATAACTGTGCATGTAAAATATAAATATACTGGAGATATATATGAAACAATGGATAAACGGATAATATAGTTGTTTTAAATGTTTAATTAACGTGTATAAAATTTTATATATAGTCCCAATACTTTTAGCAACTTTCATAGAGATGTCATAGATTTGTTGTTTCCAGAATAAGTTTTCGTCTACAAGAACTCCAAGAAGTTTTGTATTTTTTTCACAATTTAATATTGCATTATCAATAAAGAGGCCGGGCATTGTGTTTAGCAAACATTTTTTTCTGGATATTGGGTAAAAAGTGCCCTTTTTTTTATCAATATTGAAGAACAATCTGTTTTTCTTAAACCAATATAAAATATTATTTAATTTTTGTGTCAAATTATTAAAAAGTGTATTTATGTTTTGATGAAATTAGAATAGGTTTGCATCATCAACAAAAACTATAGTGGCTAAGTTAGAGGCTTTGTTAAGATCGTTTATTAATACTAAAAATAATAGGGACCTAACTATGGATCCCTGTGGGATGCCACATAACATGTGGTATCCCACAGGGATCCATAGTTGTATGTATATATATATATATATATATATATATATATATATACATATATATATATTTAATAATTAAATATATATATATATACATATATATATATATATATATATATATATATATATATATATATATATATATATATATATATATATATATATATATATATATATATACATATATATATATATATTTAATAATTAAATATATTTAAACTAGGTTAAACAAGAAAACGAAGTAAAATATCATATATATATGTATATATATATATATATATATATATATATATATATATATACATATATATATATTTATATATATATATATATATATATTTATATATATATATATATATATATATATATATTTTTTTTTTTTTTTTTTTTTTTTTTTTTTTTTTTTTTTTTGAATGTAGACATCATGTATGAGAGTATGTAAATTATTATTTTATAAACATCAATAAATACGATTTTCTCTCAATACTAAATTTATATTTTATTTTTTAAAGAAATTTTCACTGGATTGTTGTGACCAGCGTCTTCAGCTTAAAAGATTTTTTTCTATATAGTGCATATCAAAGTAGCACTAAAAATTGCCTTAAACAAAATTAGACATCAAAATGATATCAAATTAAGCTGTTTAAAGAAAAAAATCGAGCTTCTAAGCAGAACGTCAAGCAACACGACAGACCAACTACAACGGCAACAGCAACAGCAACAACAACATCAAAAACAGCAACAACAACAGATTAGCTGGACCAGCAACAACAATAATAACCAACAACGTTTGAGAACATACGCTTCTAGTCTAGCTGAAAAAGTCAATTTTAATTCGAATAATCGAAATAAAATTTTAAATCAAGCCGTTGCCGAAATAAAGACAAGAAAAGAGAGGGAATCAAATTTAATAATTGTAGGACTCCAAGAGTCAACAACGAATAAAGAAAAACTAAATCCAATGGATTTAGTTTTTCCGCATGAAAAACTAAATCCAATACAATTAACTAAAATAACTGAAATACCCAAGTTCCACCCAAATCCACCGCTTTTGAAACATAAACATTCTAACCACCAGTCAATTTTAACACAATTTAGGTCGAACATTAGCAATAAAAAAAAACTAAACTTTCGGGCAAACAACCCATGCTCTCTTAACGGCGCCAAGAGAGACGAGCTAATAGCTAGAATTGATGCTGACTCAATAGGAAAAAAAACAGATTTACTATTTCGAGTCGTGGTTCAATAGAACATCTGACACAAAACTAACAGGCTATCTAATTCACCAAAAAGATAGAAATGGACGAGGAGGTGGCGTTGTAATATACATAAAAGATGAGTTTCCGGCTATGGAAACGACTATTCAACAACTTGACTCAGAAAGTATTGAACAAGTATGGCGCATTATAAATCTAGGATACGAATCTATTCTTGTAGGATGTATCTACCGACCACAAGATAATAGCGATACTGTTCTAGAACAAATAACCTACTCAATAAAAGTAGCCAAAGACAATTTAGTGTTTTTAGACTGTTCAGTAATGTTAGTCTATGGAGATTTCAACTTCAGCCATACAACCTATGATGAACTTGACAATGGTGGTGGAAGGGCTACCACAGCCCACGTAAAAGAAGAACGACAAACAGACTTAAGATTTGAGAAGTGTTTAATTGAAAATCATCTCACTCAAGTGGTGACCTTCCCAACGTATCGTAACTCAAGAAAAAAGGATCCAAAAAACACACTTGACTTTATTATCACAGATGACCCAGACAGAATCGAGGAAATAGAAAAGGGTGACTCTTTAGGTCATACACCCGCAGGCTAATCGCACTGTTTTATAATTGGATCATTTACAATAAACTATAGAAATGAAAATAACTCGAAAAACAAAAGATATATCTGGAGTAGAACAGACTATAAATCTATTTCAACACAAATACTAGCATACGACTGGTACAACCTATTCAAAAACTTTTCGGTGAACAATTACTCAGTATTCATCGACAGGTATAACGAGGCTGTTGAGTTGTACATCCCATCAACTACAAAACCATTTATTGAAAAGAAAGAACCATGGAACACACCAAAAGTCAAGGAGGCAGTTAAAAAAAAAGAATACTCTGGAGCAAATATCTTAAAGCAGGAAATAATTCTCGTGAGGTAATTAAAAAAGAACATCGAGATGCATGTAAAAACGTGATGAAGGTTGTCAAGTCTGCAACCAAGGCATATGAAAAAAAAAATTGCAAATCGATTTAAATTGGAACCTAAACTCTTACATGAATATGTACTACATAAGCAAATGAACAAAGACTCAATAAGATCTCTGGAAGATAATGAAGGTAAAATTACAACAAAAGAAGAAGAAATTGCCCACATAATAAACGAATATTTTCAATCAGTATTCATCACCGATACGGATGAACAAATGCCTCATCAAAAATATTGAATTCTTAATAAAACAATCATATGTCAGAGAAAAGCTCGAAAACCTAATAGAATCGAAATCCAGAGGTCACGATGGAGTACACCCCCGGGTGTTAAAAAACTGTTCCTGTGCTTTTGCTGTGCCACTCACACTCATATTCCAAAAGTCTTTTGCAGAAAGTCATATACCTGAATTATGGAGAAAGTCAAATATCACACCGATTTTTAAAAAAGGGAGTAAACAAAAAAAAGCTAACTATCAACCGGTATCTCTAACATCTGTCTCTTGCAAAGTAATGGAGAGCTTTGTTCACGATACCATAATGAAGCATTGCATCGTTAATAACCTAATCACTAAAGACCAGGTTTTCTTCCGGGACGAAGTTGTGCCACTAATTAATTAGAAACAAGGGACTATTAACAAATGCAATTTCTGAAGGTTATGCCATAGACGTTATCTATACTGACTTTGCAAAGGCGTTTGACAAAGTATCACACAAGCGGCTACTTCATAAGCTTAAATCATACGGTGTATTTAGAACTCTGCTCGAGTGGATAACTGATAACTGATAACATTGATAACTGGCTGGCGAACCAACAACAAAGAGTAAGAATCGGTAATCATAAATCAAATTGGAAGAAAGTCACAAGTGGTGTTCCACAGGGTTCAGTGCTTGGACCTCTATTATTCATACTCTATATAAACAATTTACCTGATAATATAGCACATCAAATTAAAATGTAAACTTATTATTTACTTTTTAAAAAGAAAACATAGTCCTAAGGCATTTATAGTCCATTATACAAAGCTATTTTAAGAAAATTTATGATATTTTTCCTTTATACGTTAAATTTCTTCTTGCTAATATATATATACATAATTTGTTTATTTTTGAATGTATATACTTTTTTTATACTGCGATATTGAACAAAAATAATTAAAAAAAAAGAAGCTATTAATTGAAATATATGAAATAAATTAAAATAAATTATTTACTATACTGAAAGCTTTTTGACATTTTCTAAACTTTTTACCAATGTTTTTCCAATTTTTTTACCAATGTTCGATGAAACTTATTGATTTTGAATATACTTTATTGTTTTGAATTAACTTTATTGATTGTTATTCTGTTTATATGATATTTGATATTTTATTACTAACAATTTGTGTTTAATAAATTACTTAACATTGACGAACACATTTAATCTTATTGACATACCGTTGATACTTTTTATAATGAAAATTAAAAAATAATTTAAATATTGATTCAAAGTAAAACTAAAACTAAAAATAAAGCTAAAAATAAAACTAAAATTAAAAATAATTCAAAGTTAAAAATAAAACTAAAACTAAAAATAATTCAAAGTAAAATAAAGAAAACATAAACCTTATGTATAATTTACCTTAAGTAATAGAAATTGAGCTGCCCTGGCACAATGGTTGCGCACTTGCCTCAGAAACAAAGGATCCGTTGTTCAAACCCCACCTCTGGGGAAGTTTTACGACATCGGTTAGGATGAAGGTGTGAGCTTCCAATTTCCAAAAAAATTTTCCAAAGCTCATCCGCTGTGCTTTGTAATAAAACCGTTAGTACTTCTTGGACCACCTAAAATAAAATTTAAAAAAAAAATAAATATATTAAATCAATAAAAAATATAGAAAAATTATAGTTATATGATGTTTTCTTCAAAGTTATAGAATAATAATAATAAAAAATTTATAGTCAACAAGCAGAATTTGCAATAACAGTTTGGAACTAATGTCTATAATCATAAAAAAATAATCCTATAAGTAAACAACAAGGTAAGGAAAAATTAAAAAATATTGTTTGACTTTTTTTTGTTTGTTATAGACTTTTTTGTTTGTTTGTTATGTTATAGTTTGAATTTTATTGCTAATTATTTACTTAGTAAATTTGGTTAAAGCAAAAAATAAGCGACAATAAAACAAGTTTTATTTTCGCTTTCGTTTGCTGTTGTTTATTGTTGTGAACCTTACTGGCGCACTTTTTTAAATTATTATTTTTAACATTAAAAAATTTATTAATGGTTAGTATAAAAAGATTATTCTATTATTGCAGTACAATAAGCTGTTACATTTCGGAATTAAGCGGTAAATTTTAGCGAGATTGACGAAACAAAACGAAGCAATTTATCGTTTCGGAAGACATTCGCTTACATCTTAATTTACCTTAATCATCTCGTTATAACGATAAATTAAAAAATCTAATATCGCTTCATTTCGAGACAAAACGAGACTTTTCCAAAAACCTCTAATTCTTTTGCTGTACCAAATTTAATGAAAATTAACATTAAAAAAAAAATTACAGTATTTTTTTTCTCGCAAAATATTAGGTAATGCTTTAGCTAATCAGAAATCGTTGTTTATATAGAACGTTTTTTAGTTTTGAGTGAGAAAATTTCTTAAAAATGGCTTCTCGAATAAGAATTTGTATTCCTATCGATATAGTTTTGAATTTAATATTTATTTGTTTTGATAAAATGTAATATTACATATGTAATATGCAATGTATGTATGTATATATATATATATATATATATATATATATATATATATATATATATATATATATATATATATATATATATATATATATATATATATATATATATATATATATATATATATATATACATACATATAAATCACAATACATATAAAATAAACATAGACATAAAATAAAAATAGTATAAATTATAGACATAAATGTTTATTTATTGATCATCCAGTATATGATCAATAAATAGATTGTGCAACGAGTACTGATGCTGATCGGGTCTAATTTACTGTTATAAAGTGAATATGAAACTTTATAATTCCTGATTTCTTATAGTGTTAGTATACGAAAATTAAAGGCTTAATAAAGCGTTGATTTTTTTATAATATAAAGTTTACAAAAATTGAATTACAATAAACTTGATGAAAATTTTCAAAAATTCATAGAAATTTAGAGAACAAATCTGCTTGGTGATTTCTCGTTACCGTTACCGTTTTAAATAATTCCGAGATGTAACATCTTACTGTACAAAGTTGATTGTAATAAATAATATAAATATTAACAAAATTCACATATAAACGATATTTGTCTAATAATCTATTTGTAAATGGTTGATTAATTTAAATCTCTTTCTAGATTTCTGTTTAGCAAGTTGAGTAAAATTAAATTTACATTAAAAAAATTAATACTATTTTAGTTTCTGCTGCAAATCGGTCGTTGACCGTTACTAGAGCTCAGCTGACCTGTTTACGGCATCAAATATAAACTTATTTTATGCTTACTTGCAATTTTTAAGGAAGTCATGCAGCGCTACTCTTTTGTTAAGTTTAACTTTGTTAACTATCAAGTCAAGCTATCAAGTCAAGTCAAGAACTATCAAGTCAAGCACAATATTTTTTGAGTTTCTTAAAATATTACAGACATTTGGTTCAAATTTGGGATTTAAACCGTTATAATGAAAAAAGTGCAGCAGAAAGTAGAATCTTTAAACAATAGTTTAATAATGAATTTTAAAACAAGATGAAAGATGCCAATGAGTTAAGATAAAAGATAATGAATAAGATGAATCAAAGACTTCAGTAATACAATTAGTTAAGATGGAAATTTTAGTTTTGTTAAACATTAGTCATTGCATGTTTACAGCATATCATTGTCTTAATTTAAGTATTTTAGCGGAGATAGCGGAGAATGTCGGAGAAAACTGAATATGCCAGTACTTGAGTATGAATTTTTAACAGATTAAAGAAATTCAAGAACTGTAGTTATTGGTCGTTGAATATATTGAAAGTACTTTTACATTAACCAAAGCATTTTTGAGAAGCACTAAGAGATAGAAACACTATGATTTTTTTTGAGAAGCACAAGGAGATAGAAATACTATGATTTTTTTTTTTGAGAAACACAAAGAGAGAAATACTATGATTTTTTTTGAGAAGCACAAGGAGATAGAAATACTATGACTTTTTTTGAGAAGCACAAAGAGGTAGAAATACTATGATTTTTTTGAGAAGCACAAAGAAATAAAAATGCTATTGATTTTTTTGAAAAGCACAAAGAGATAGAAATACTATGATTTTTTTTGAGTAGCACAAAGAAATAGAAATACTATGATTTTTTTTGAGAAGCACAAAGAGATAGAATTACTATGATTTTTTTTGAGAAGCACAAGGAGATAGAAATGCTATGATTTTTTTTTGTCTAGCTAAAGTAGTATGAACAAAAACTTCTGATGTCGATGCACAAATTAACTTTAACGAAGTTAATTACTGAAACTCAGAGCATTTTTGATGACAATCAGTTACTATATTTTTGTGAGTTAGATCTGGAAAAAATCTGGAAAAAAAATGGTAAAGTTTGTAACAGTTGCCAGATAATGTGACTGATATGGAACATTTGATGTTGCTGGAGCTACCATTGTTACTAAAAAATTTCCAGATTACGGAATAATAAAGAAGCCATGCAGATGTGACACAGTGGTAAGAGCACTTGGTCAAAACCAATAGGTCTGAGGATCTACTCCGGCTCAATGTTCATAAACGACATTGGTAAGCAAAGAGGTGCAAAGTTTCGAGTTAAATACTTTTCCGTGGTGCCCTGTAATAAGACCGTATAGACTTCTGCAAACTTCTTATTAAACCCAAAACAAACAAAAAAAACAAAAAACAGTGTTCGTTGCGCCCGAAAATCAATTTTCCTTGATGGGCGAAAAGGTAAAACTTTTTATGCATGAGCGACTAGCAGTAAAAGCTCAATTACGATAGAGCTTATCCCTTTTAATGAAAATAACTCATCCCATTTTTCTTGGTTATGTTTCTTTATCAAGGACATCATCAGAAAATATCATAAAATTGATTATAATTTATATTTAAACAAAAATAAAATACTTTATTTTTGTCATAATAATTTTATTAGCGAAAAGCGCAGACAAAATCAGCGCAAATACTGGTGTGAACAATGGTATAATAAGATTACTGGAGCTGCATTTGGGATATCCAGTTCAATGGTTAGTGTTCGTGTTCCATAAACAATCTCATATACAGTTAGTATTGCATTCAGATGGCACCATTTCTAGACCTAATGGCAAAATTTAAAAAACACTTGCAAAGTATCACAATTGTCAATTGCTAAATTTTAGTAAAGTTAGGCAGAATGACAAACCAAACGCTCTATATAAAGTTTTTACAGATTATATCAGCAAAAATTAACAATATCTATATAACATTTGCAATAAAATTAAGGTAAACAAAGCCTAGCCATTGGTTTTTTCTCGGTGGCTGGGAACCACAAATCTAATCCTTTGTTTGCATATTACAAGCACTCTTTTGTCTACCAAGCTTGTAAAACTTACTGATTACATTTTTTGAGTTTAAGCTTCGGTGTGGGTTTTTATAAAATCGGAGTTCTAATTTTCTTTCTAGGAGTGATCAACTGTTAGTTGATAACAGCATTCAGAGAAATGCATATTTTGTTCATCTAAAAAATATCTTCATATTAATATTAGTTGATGAACGAAAAGAAATTTGAACATTAGCAGCTAGAAGAATTAAATTTGCATAGCAGTGCACAGGTTCAAGTTCTACTGAAGTAAGGAAATTCAAAATTCTTCTTCTAAACTTTGATGCAATTAATTACCTTTAAAATTGTAAATTGGTTGTTGATATTCTTGAATTCCAAGGGTCCAACACTTAAGTAAAGAGAGTTAAGTGATTATTTTATTTAAAAACAATGAAAATTTGCTAAAATTAATAATTTCTTGTTTTCCGGAAAGTTTAAGATTTTTTCAGATGACTTCCCGTCCCATTATCAAAGTATAGAAAGATATGTTAAGTTGGTTACTTAAACAACAGCAGCAGTATATAGAGAAATGAGGAAAGACAAATATATTAGAGCAAAACTTTTATCTAAAAGCATGTTTCACATTTTGCTTTAAAATATAATCGGAATATGTTGGAATAATTTGTAAGATGAATTTTTCTATCGAGTACAATAAAAATTATATAAATAATGGCATTTATAAGACATTGTATTTGTTTAAAAATTTTTGGTACCCATGATATATAAAGTATACTTGATATATAAAGATACATAAAAATAAAGTCAAACTTGCATTTTATATTTTTTTTAGCTTTTACTTTATAAAAAGTTGAAGTTACAACCAGCAAATAACTAAAATATTGAATATTTCGTTCATATTTCTACTTATTAAAAAAATATCTTATTTATAAGGTAAGAAAAATAGAAAAAATGATTTTTATTTTTTTAATGATAATAAAATGTTACATCAACATTAAATAGCTATTTAAGTTAACTTTAACGAAAAAAAAAAAAAAAAAAAGAAATGACGAGCTATTCTAATAAGCAGATAAAGTTTGATTATTTAAAACAACCTTATATATTCTTTGTTGTGTAAAAATATTTATAGTTTTAAATATATTTAAATAGTAATAAAATTGTTTATTAAATAATGTAAATGTAATAAATATAAATAATTAAAATTAGGTATACATTGTTTTAACAAATAAAACTCATGTATTAGTTTTGTTCGTATTTAATATTTTGAGTAAAATAAGTTTAAAATAACTTTTTTTTCTGTGGTGTACTACAGAACAGGAAAAAAATGTTTTTTAACTGAAAAAAAAAATGTTTTTTTTTAATAGGTTTTAAGAAAGATTTTGATTGGAAGCTTTTGATTGGAAGATTTTGATTGGAAGATTTTGATTGGAAGATTTTGATTGGAAGATTTTGATTAGAAGCTACAGTTTCTAGAAATAAAAAGTATAAATTCACAATGGGGAATGTAGTAAGGTCTTGGAAATGTACCGTAGAAAACAAATCCAATAAAACACTATACGCTGACGGATCTACTCCAGTATCAGGAAGTATGGCAACAGTTTTAACAGATATAGCCCCTGGTGGCACAGGCGTTTTTTTGTGGGAACAATCGAAAGGCGCTGCTAGAGGCGCAGTTGGTGTGGTTTATTATCGTTATGAAGACAAGATCCTTAGCTTAATGGCATCTATTCCGTACGATTGGCATTTGTATAACGCTTGGGCTAATGCACGAGTTTCAAACAAAAAGGAAAGTTTTTCTAATTTGTATAACGGATATGATGGTGCGCAACAACCTACAATAGCGGGAAACTGGGGCGAAGTTGATGGTACAAAGTTTTTTCTTACTGATAAAAGTCACGCTGAGTTTAATGTTATTTTTTCAGGATAATCTAAACTTTGTTATGTAAAAAAAAAAGTTATTCATGTAAATCATTGTTATTCATTATATTGTTATATATTATACTTTTCTATAAATTTTATACATTAAATTTTAATGGTACTCATTTCTAAAAACGTAATACAGATAGACATGGGTAAACTGGCGGTATAGTATGTAAACCAATTTAAAACAAAAAAAATTTTCAAACATATCTACATAATCTATAAAATAGTTATTATTACTTAATAATTGTTAAAACATTAGAAGAAAGTAGGGAGATGTGGGACGCGGGAGAAGTGGGACACCCATTTAATTTTATTTAGGAGCGGCGCCTATTAACTGTTACTTAATGTAAATTTTTTTTTAATGTAAATTTCTTGTGCTTTTTTTATCAGACATCATTCCGCCTTCCGCCTGGTAGAAACCGCTTCTTTTAAAAGTATCTCTAAAAAGAATATTTACTAGCAGCCTAGTTACTTATGTATATATTTATTTTTGACTGTTTTGGCACCTTTTGTCTATTAAATAGGGGAGTTTATATTTTAGCTTTTATTGTATGGCTGTAATTTTAGTTTTATTTCGTCTGCCTTACATAGGGGTGAAGCGGGGCAGAGAAAAAAAGTTGCTGTCCCACTTCTCTATAACAGTTTTGTGTTATTTTATTGCGGAAAGTTTTATTGATACGTTTAATCTGTTTTTAATTTTAACTTTAGTTTTTATACAGTAGATATAAAACAAAATTTGGAAAGAGAGACCTTTATTGAAGATAAACTTGATTTGTTTCATCTTTGTTGTTTGGAACGAATTGAGAATTTTTTTTACATCAATAATTTGAAAGCATTTAAAAAGCAAATACGTTTTTTTAATTTTAAATAAAGTCATAACTTGATTAATAGTCTGAAATAAGATATAATAACAGTCTCCTTAATACTATTACAAATAAATATATTATATATACTATATTATTGCCATTATATTTCAAATATATTTTTATCAATCCTAATTTCCTTTAAATTTTATATCATTCCTAGAGTTTAGAAAAGAAAAATTGAAACTCCACATGCTTCAGAAAACATTTTGGAAGTTGATGTAGCCAAAGTGAAAAATTGGTACTACTTAGCTGGTATTTCTAACACTGTAATTCATAGATATATAAAAAAAAAAGTGTCAATACTCAGATGCTAATCTTCAACCAAATTATCAAACATTCCAAATTTTTTCTCTGTGTGGGCAAATAGCATCTAGCGAAAGAGTTGAACTAGTGTGTTGCATTGTATCTGCAGCTGATGTAGCAATACCCCCTGTTACTATATTTCTAAGAAAGTTATTTAAAGACCCGCTAATTGGAGGAGCACTAGAAGGTTCTATTGTATTAGCCAATCAATATGGATGGATGAATGCTGAAATATTTATAGATGTCTAAAAGCATTTGGTTAAGTTTGCCCGCACAACAGCCGATCACAAAGTTGACCGATTTTGATTATGGATAATCATGAAAGCCACCTTTTGCTACAGTCAAAGAGAAACATGTTTTTATGATGACTTTGCCAACACAAACTACATATAAGACACAACCTTTAGGAAGGTCTAATTTTGGTCCAAATAAAACATATTTTAATACAGCTGTCTACAGCTGGATGCTTAGCAATTCAAGACAAACCTTTACAACTTATGAGATGGTCAGTATCATTCGATAAACATGGAAAAAATCTTCCACACCAACAAGTATTATGTCAAGATTTAGCGTGACAGGAATGTCCTTAGATTGATAGAAATGTATATGGTAATAATATTTTGTAAACATCAGTTGTTACAGATAGAAATGTGCCTTAAGAACCATGTAATGAAGACTCTTGCGAGAAATCAAAAACAAGTGTTATTCTTTCAGATATCTTAGGTTTGTGTGCGCAACATGAAGCAGTAAAAAAAACTCCACTGTATTTTTTCATGAATTGTAGGAGGTTATCCAATGCTAATTTAAACTAAATATTCTTTATTCGGATTTTTTTTAACTCTATAATGATTACATAAGCTGTATAAAATGATGCAACTAATGAAATTAAGTTTCTTGTGTTACAGTTAAAAAAAAAGTTTAATACATGTTTTGCACCTTCTCGTGTTATTGTAAGACATGGACATGAATAAAAAAAGTATATGGTTGCCTCATCAACACCAGAGATTTTAAGAATAAGCCATTAAGTAATAAACAAAAAAAAAGGTAAAAAATTGTTCCTCCAAAATCAAAGAAAGTGAAGAAAAATGTATAGACTATTTTGTTTTATTTAAATTAAACTTAACTTTAAAATCAAAAATTGGTCAAACTTATATTTAACTAGTTTTGGAGTCATTTTTATATAGTCCCACTTCTCCCCCAAATTTTCAGCTTCTCCCGCTTACTTGTCCCACTTCACCCACAATTGTCCCACTTTACCCCAATAGCAGGGTTCCTCTAAAACCAAAAAAATATATACTATATTAAAACATGCTATCAATCTGGTGAAATTGGTGCCTAAATGCTTCTTTATTTGTAAATAAAAAAGGTATTTGTAAATAAAAAAATTTTCGTGTCCGACTTCTCCCCATTTTCTTCTAATTCACAAAAAATAAAAAATTAGCTTTGTTCCTAAGTAGAATAGTTAAAATATCCTCTATTTTACTATTTCATTTAGGATGCTTTCAGTATAGATGTTATATAAATGCGGCAATGGAATAGACCCTTGTTGCACCCCTTTTGACAGACTGAGTTGATTTGAATTAACTCCTTGATAGCATTTGCTTGCAGTAGCAGAAAGATAAAGCGATAAGATTGTGTGTACTACAGACAACGGAAGCTATTTTTGGAAATAGAGCTTCTCATATAATAAATCCCAAATATCAAAAGCTTTATATGCATTTAAACTGCATATATATAAAGAGTGTTGTTGTTTTTATAATGCTTAACAGTTGCGCTCAATAAAATTTCTGCGTGAAATGAAGAGTTGTTTTTTTTAAAAACAAATTGATGTGAGCGGCTATCTGTTATACTAGGACATATAAGTAGTATTAGATAAGTTAGAAGTTTAGAGAAGCTAGGTAAAATACAAATTCCTCGGTAAATATCTAGATTATTAAGTGATTTTTTATATGATTTAAGAAGTAGAATAATTGTTGAAGCTGATAGATCGTTTGGTACCTTTCCATTTCAATGCATTCTTGTGTTTTATTATAATTAAATTTTTGCCATTGTTTATAATTAAGTGAAAGATTTTGTTTGCATTTTGTAAGGTCCGTTGTCCACCATGATTTGGAATATTTACAGATTTCGTGTTGTTTAAAGCTCTGCTTAACTGCAAATAGAGCTTACTATTTTTAATTTTTTTGCATGTTTGTTTTAATTTTTGTTCAATTTTTTCTTCATTGAAGGTGCAGTTATTGAAAGCTAAGGAAAGGTTATAATTATACAATTACACATTATGATTATATTTATGAATTGTGCTATTTATTACGGTTGATAGATTAGTATGTGTAACGACGATACTAGTCGCGATTGGTAAGTGATCACTAAAATTTAAAGGCTAAGGGGGAATAACTTTGGTATTTGTAAAAGATAAGCATGACTTTTTTATAGCTGCAATGTGATCGATATACGATGAGTTAGAGAGAGTTTTATGTTGATAGGTGTATATTCGACCAGCGCCACTGATTATATCGTTTAAAGAGAGCATATTTGATTTAATAAAATTAGATAAATGATTAGAGAATTTGTTGCGTGTTTTATTATTACGATTCTTAGAATCTTAAACTGTTTTGGAGTATGATTGAAAATCTCCAGCAATAATACATTCACTTACATGTTAGTAGTTTTTTATGACTGACGCAGTTAGGTTTAATTGTTGTATTTACTTTGAATGGTGTAATTTTGATAATAAGAATAAATAAGGATATAGATAAGATAAATGGACGTCGACAATCAAGCTTTTTACTAGTGCTTGTTCCTGTTGCTTTGTAAATACTGTTTTTCCTCCCATAAAGCTTGATTGTTGACTTATTATTGAGCGTTATTTACGGTACTCCAAATGTTTTTTGCTGCCGTTAATGTTTTACCCCCATCTTTAACAGCTTGAATAGCTAATTGAAGATTGGTATAACTATAGGACTTCATTTTCTTTGAGAGATACTTGCGTATCATCTGAAACTTAGGTAATATACAGGGAGTTTTATATTTGGGGTAAAAATGCAACGAGATAATTATTACCGAATGGCATAATCTTTTTAAATATCGATGCTTGGATTTTTTAATGGTGTATTTTAAACATGCTAATCAATATAGTGGCTATAAACAATCAGCGATGGTGAGCATTTAATGATAAGAAATGCGAATATATGAAATGCATTTAATTGGAACAAATTACATTTTCAAATACAAAATCTTCGGAGAATTTTAGAAAACTATTTTTAAGTTAAATTAAAAAGTACTTAAGCTTTAAATGTATATCTAAAAAATACTGATTTATTATATCTTCAAAATACTTCTAATAAATTTATCATACAATAATCCCTGATATATGTCAAATGATTTTATAAAATTGTTTATATAATAATAAATAATAATATTAAATATTGTTTAGAAAGCAAAAATATTGTACATTATATATATTTTTTTAATGTAGGGCTATTCTACCATTCTGTGACGAAATCACCCCACAATATTCTAGTTGGACAAAAACCTATTTAAAATATATATCACGAATGTCAGTTAAATATTTTTAAAAAATTCATCTCACAAATTCACTCTCACTTTAGCAGTTATTTTCAAATGTAAGTTCAATCAATTTCACAAAATTAATAATAATGCCACATGAAGCATAAATCACACGATAATATCAATTAATAATATCAAACAGCAAATCTCATTTAAAATTTACAACAACCAATAAAAATAGGCGGCAACTATGATTAATCAAAATTTATAAGATTATAATTTTAAAATAATAAATATTTGACAACATCTTAATTCGGTGTTATATCAGAATAACAGCTTTTTCTTGAAATATTAAAATTGGCGAAATCG